ATGAAAAATAACGAAATTAATAAATTGGTACCTTATCGTAACCCTCTCTGGATAAGGCTCCGAATCCTGGTCCTCTTGATCTGAAACGGGTAAATAAGAAATGAGATATACTAGTAAGTATGAATATCACACTACTCACCAACACAGAAATGAAGCTTGGTAGAAAATTAAAACAACTAATAGAGTACTTAATTAAATAAATATATTTATTAATAATAAAATTATTTACCGTCCACTTACCACAGTGAGATTTATAAAAACAATCTATAGAGACAATAACATAGTACTTATCATGATTTCATATGCAATTGGTAACATGCACACATTATAAATCCATATTCAATAAATCAAACAACCACTATCCCTTTTCCGTCAGCCTGCTGATATCTATGAGGATTCATAGGGATATTTTCGTTACGCGTGAACCGTTTCCTTTAACATTTTTAATTAAATGGTTGTCCTCACACCCTGTCCGGTATGAGTGTCGAACTACTAAACCTCAATACCTCGTCCGGTATGAGGGTGAAACGAGTCGTCCCCATACTCTGTCTGGTATGAGCGCCAATTTACCAAGTCTCGATATTCTGTTCGCTATGAGACAACATTCACGATAGAGTTCCCTATTGTACCCAGTCTGTCCATCATTTTTCAGCATCTCCAGTAAGGTTGTCGTTTCATCCATTCACTTAATCACACTGTTTCTCGTTTTTTCCTTAGTCTCCTTTTTTTAATTCAACCGTAATCACATAAATAAACAAACATGCATCAGGGAATGCAATCATATCTCGATTTTTTAATTTAACAGTAGTCACATAAGGCAGCAATACATGCATTCAGACCATAAAATCGATAAATCAGATATTATTATGCATTGAAACCGTAAAAATAATCAATAGAAGTAACTGTAGATAATTTTTTATTCTGACTCCATTAGTAACCCGTAATTAATTATGGATATTTTTTAAATTGTACAAAATACCGTATTATTGTTAATTTGACTTCAATTCTATAACAGAAAATAGAGTGAGCGATTCTTACTCAATTTGATGCCCGAAAGACTAAACAGTTGACTGCGTCTACTGGCGGTCCCAGCTTCCCTGAATTTTTTTTTAGAATTAAAACACGCTATAAAT